TAATAACAACTCTGCCACCCCCAGGTGATTTTGAAGCATCCTCAAGTTTCAGAACCACTGCTCTAGAATTCAACATTCAGGAGCATAATCTTCGGCCTTATCCACCAGAACAAACATTAGAAAGCAGTTGTGCTGTAATTTCTTCCAGCAGAAGAACATGTCTGGAAGTTACCCAGATAATCCTGGCTTTTCCATTTGGTGACAGTCTTACGATATTATCTCTTTGAAATAAAACTTAGAGTTCCTAACACTAAGATAAAGCATTTTGATTAAGTACATGACCATAAATTACAGTGCTTTTCCAACATGAAACAAGTAGAGCTCTTCAAATCTTTTTATTGTGTGTTTTCTTTTTAACCCAGCCATGAAAATTAGATCACTGCTAGAAAGCCAAGAGCAAGATCCATATTTTCTGGAAAAATATGCTGAGCTTAAATCTCACTGTGCTGTTGATGAGGTCACCTTTCATCTCTAAAGGGTATTTGATGCTGACTAAATAATGATGTTTAAGGTTGCAGAACTGACCCTGAAAACACCGATTTTCCTTTTAAAAATGTTTTGTCAAACAGTGGTCCCTGGGGAAATAATTAAATGATGAATATCTTAGTTCCTTCAAAAAGGTCAATATACTAAAATATGTAGTGGGTCACTTTGAGACTGGTTTCCTTTCTTAAGAAGGTGACAACTTGGTGAAGATGATGAGACACTTCTAGTGTTGTCTTTTTCCTCTCACAGCCTTAATTACCATGGAATGTTTATTCAGAGTGTTTGCAAAATTAAAGACTCCCTGGAGAAAATGATATTTGAAAGCCAGGTAATCTCTGGAAAGCAGACTGAAAAGAAACTAAAAATAAACATGTTTAAGTACATGAGAAAATGGACAGTGTCAACATTGCGAAAACGATTCCACGCTCTCATGCTAATGATATGCAGCAATAGTTGAGAGTTTTCTATTTGTGTCTTAAATATTTTATGGTAACTTTGAAAGATTTCCAGAACTCAGCAAGGCACAAAGAAAAGCATCACTCTGCTGGCTACAGCTAAAGTTCACAAAGCATAACCAGTGCCGCTTCACAGAGGTTATAGCCTAAACGAGCCTCCACCATCCTGAGTCCCAAAATTGGTCGTGGTCAAGCTCATGTAGATGGGGAAGTATTTTGCATGCAGGGATTTGTGTTTGGCATTCACTTTCCAGCTCTAACTGTAATACAAGCTCAGAGAAGTAAATATGTTTAGACCTGAAGGATTTTTTTTGCGCATGTTGGAGCAATGATGCAAATTCCTATGAAAAGAAATCAAATAAACATAAAGGTAAAGGGAAAGGCTCAGGATATACAACTTACTTAAGACATGCTCAACAAATCTTAACCAACCCCTTCAGATTTCTTTTCAGACAGGAGCAATAGAGGCTAGTTCTTATTTACATGGTTGACTTCTAGCCCAAATGTGTTTATTTTCAAAAACGTTTTCGATTTCTTAAAGTAAAAGATTGAGATCATTGTCATCAACAGCAGCATCGCCAGTCTGTGTGAAATGTTTATGCTTCTTTTTACTTCAGTTAATCCCTTGGAAAGTGTGACCAAATGCTTGTTATACTGTGCTTCCATCTGTTTTTAAAATGCCTACATCTTCTGAAGGAAGAAAGTCCAGCAGTGGAGCTAGACCAAAACTTCGACCTTGTTCAAAAGCATCTCAGTGTCTTTCTCTAACGTTTCCAATAAATTATCATCATCATCAAAATTGATTTTTAAGATAATGTTTACATGGAGCTCTGTGCTATATAATGACAGTCTAATGAACAGGGAGCCATATTTCTAAAAACTTAAGACTTGAGATAGCACTCACAAAGATGGACATGAGAGAAATAAGCACTACCAGCCAAACCATGTTTAGTTATAAACAAAGCAAACATCAATAGAAAATATTAATATAAAGAACAGGGGAAAGGGTCATACATGATGTGGTACAAGAAGCAGTGGTGGCTATTGCAAGCTTAAAAGGAACAACCTCTGTAACACAAAACATCACACACACACACACACACACACACACACACACACCTTTCCTGGTGTTAGTACTACATGGAGATCTTCCTTATGGGTGGGTTAAAAGGCTGCCCATGTTTTCCACACCTTTGCCCACCGGGTTGGACCTCAGGAATGTGTTGCTCCCTTTTTAGTTTAAAGTTCAATCAGAAAGAGCCTCTTTCCAACCAACGAATATTTAAAGGACTCCTCCCATGAGCTTGCAAATGGTACCAAGCCAGAGGATGCTGATTTTTGCAAAGATAATCATAAGCCTTTGAGTTAGAGAAACAGAGAGCCACCTTATCCCAGAGTGACAGCCAATATTTTGCAGAATATATTAGAGGGAAGCAGGATCTTCCATAGAAATTAATTCATAAAGACATCATCTTCAAAGCCTGTATCTGGACAAATTATAAGCCAGAAAGTAAAATTTAATAATGAAGACACTGAAGCAAGAAGCAGACACCTAAACATGCATAACACTGTTTGAGGCAAGATTACCATGGAACATTCAAGAGGCTCCAGACTAGACCAACAGAGATGGCTCCCTTAGCCCCACAGGTTAAAGGCCGTCTCTAGAGGTGGCCTCTGTGATAAGGGCATCAGGAATGATACAAAGCTTAGGGTATACCTTTTTATCAATTGCATGCAATTAATATTTGAAAATTACATTAGGTCTTACTTCAGAGTATGAGCCTAATCACTCCATCAAGATCTTTTATCATCTTCATAAAGTTTTCAGTTAAAAATTAAAGCAAAGGAAAGGGACTGTCAAGTTTTATCATCTAGATTACATTAAATATGTACCTTCATAATTCAAATAATTTAGATAAAATGGTTTAATTGTAAACCAGATAAAAAAGAAAGATCTATAGGGATAAATATAAAGAGAAACCAAGGTTGAGAGCCTTCTTGGCTACTACAATGAAGTTATGTGTGAAGAGTGGAAAATACCAGGTGAATGGCCCCATTACAGATGCCTACCTGGGTGGGCCCTAGTATGGTACCCAATTTAGTTTTCTTGCTTTTCAGCTTAAACCTCCATAGAGAAGCTGCCATTTGATTTCCTGCTTTATGGGAACTAGGTCCCCCATATCCCCTTGTCTCCTCAATGGCAAGGCTGAGAGATGCTTCTTCCTCTGAGTAGTCATCTCTTTAGTCACTTCTGTTCCTTACTTCCCCATCCCTATCCTGACTAAAATCACATGCTCATCTCAGCTTTTCTTAGGAGAGTGACTGGTTTGCAACCAGTGATCCCTCTTCTTCTAGTGGGATTCTGTTCCTTCCTTGTAGGACCCAAGTAAAGCAATGTCTTAGACATGAAACAAACATACCATCCACTTGGCAAGTATCGCTCATGTGTCCTAATGGGAGTTTGGTTACCAAGCTTATCCAGCTCAGCCCTGGGCTTGGTGAACACAAGCTATACAGCCAAAATAGAAACGTGATAGTGAACAGGAAAGGGAAAAGGCATTTTAGATTCTGTGCATAGACACAGGGGAGATCAGAAGTTTGTTCATTCATTCAACTATTTATTAAACTTACACCATGTCAGGTGGTATGCTAGTCAATGTGGATACAGAAGAAAAAAAACAAAGTCTGCAGATGAGAAAGATCTTTAGGAAAAGCATGGGAAGCTCTTGAGATGGAGAATGGCATCATTATAGCACAAACAGAATAATACTTCCTCAGTCCATAAAGGATTGACAAGAGGGCTGATGAACACAGAGAGAGATTGAGATAGTCCAGGTGAAAATTCTCCACAGCCTTGACCACTGGTTCTTAATCATCTTTTTCTGCTGTAGTATTCTTAGCGAAGGAATTCACAACAGGCTATATATCGTACGGCCATGACCAAGTATGAGAGATAGGGTTAATTGCAACAGAAAATCCAAAATATCAAAGGGCTTAAACAAAAAGAACCTCTCTACCTTGATCTTGATCTCTATCTCTGTATTTCTAGAGTCCAGGGTTGGAACAAAGCTCCATGGTCATCACTAACCCATCTTCCTCTAAACCTACCAACCTGGATGGTGGTTTCTAACCTAAAGTTACTTTGTGGTCCCAAATGGCTGCTGGTAAACCAGTCATTACATCCATAGGACAGGCAACAGGAGGAAGAAATCCAAAGCAGGTCGCAAGGCTCCCTTCCCAGTTAAGTCTGCTTCCTTTAAGCAAGCTTTCTGGAAGTTCCAGGCACTATTTCCCCTTCAAATTTCATTATTCAGAACTTAGTTATATTGCCACACTTACATGGAGAAGAGCCTGGGCACATTGCCACTGCAAATAAAACAGAGGTTTTGCTAGAGGGAAGAGGAGATTGGGGTTGCAGCCAGGTCTGCCTCTGCCATGCCAAGGTTACACACCCATTCCCAAAGCCCTATCCCCAACTCGATCCCTCTCTCTACTCCTCAGGTAAGTACATGAAACAAATAGGAATATTATCATAGGGCTAACCTTGTACCTACATTAGTTAGATTTTTAAGAATAACAAACTGCTTGCAAACTTTGGGGATTTATGTACTATTATGCTGACACACCTCAAAATCCACTGTCATTTACCAAGGCATTGTGACATTATCACTGAGAACACTGCCTATGTAAAGTGGTAGCTGGGTTGATAAAAAAAAAAAATGGACTGAGAAAATGTGAAGGAAAAAGTGAATGATGGATTTTGCAGAAAGATGACTTTAGACGTGAAAAGATGTGAGAGGTAAAAAAATATTTAGAGGATTTTTCCAGGAATGCTAGCAATCTAGCTGTGGTGGTTATAATGGAAATACTCTTAACGAAACACTGTTGGCCTCAGGGCCTCTCACAGGACAGGACCACAAATACGGTCTATGTTAGCTTGGTGGCCCCCAATAGACCATGCCTCCTGGAATTCATGATTTTGTGAGGCCCTTCCCATGAATCTGGGCTGTCCTGGGGTCACTTAAACCAGAAATGAAACTGTGCCAGTGGCCAGCCTACCTTTAGAGTCCTAGAAGTTTCTATTTTTGCTTCTTGGCTATCTTGAGTTGCCATGTAAGAAGTCTTGCTACTCCACTGGAGAGGCCATATAGAGGAGAAGTTCCAAAACTACATGAAGAGAGAGAGAACCCAGTAGTCCCAGCATTCAGTAAAAGTACAGACCCCCAAACTCTCTGCCAGACAGGTGATTGCAGCCAAACAATGGCCACTGGCAAGCCCGCCTGACACAGTCATTTGCAAATAAAATGGTTGCCTTTTTAAAGCCACCACATTTTAGAATGGTTACCAGCAATAAATAACTAAAACACCACTACCCCAAAACATATCTGCAGGCTTATGATGGGACCCAGCCAATGTGGCCATTACAGCTTGTAATGGTAGTTGGCCCCAGCTGGCCTCTGCAACTGCAGCCAAGGGAGTTGGTGCCCTCTGGACCCCTCCAGTCTCCTACCAGCACCACTTCTGACGTTTATTCCTGGAATGCGCTTTCTTCCATCTCCCTTGTCCTGACTCTGGCAGGAGCACACCTTGCCCTGTATCCCCAGCCGGTCTCCCAACAGGAACTTGTGCCACCTTTCCCCAACTTTGGAACATGCACCTCAAGTTAGCCAGTCTAATGTATGTATGTTTGTGGAGGCAGGAGAGAAGTTCTAACTACACATGGGTCAAGGCCTGTCCTGGAACCAAGGCCAGAAAAATAAGCTCCTGGCATCTTCAATTGGAATCTGGAATGCATTTCCCCATAAAAGCAATATTGTAGATGGTTTTAGGTCTTGTAGTACTATTAAGCTATACTGCCAATTAAATAGACATTTGGGGGCTGGTCTGGAAACATAACTACCCCTTATAATATTGCCCTACCGAGAAACGAGATCCAGATAACTGGCTGAAAAATGACCCTTTGGAAGTAACCCGATTATAAGTCAGAAACTGTCATCCTATCTTGATTACCAAGCGTATAGTAGATGCTGTAGGGGAAATAGGAGAAAACACTGAGGCTTATTCCCAAGAAGTTACATTTTATTTGGAAGATGAAGACACACAACAAACAGACCAGGCAGTATATCAGCAAGTCTTAAACTGTGTGGGACTGACAATTAAGTGCTTCAGAGTTAGAAAAGCAAGCCCAAAAGTTGTCTTTTTGATTGCTTATTTACACTGGCTTCTAGAAACCTGTTTTGAGATGTCTTGTGGACTCAATGTTATTCACAATTGCCCAAGTGCTAGTTCACTGTTAATGGGAAATGGGTGGGCAGGTATAGGAGGCATCTGGATTCACCTGGCTGTAGAGAATAAGGTGAGTTCTGGAGATTAGGGATTAGCTACAGGAGGGGAATAGCCAGGTGGCTTCGTAGAAACCAAGGAGTCTTTATAGCTGGCCTCTTCCTCATTAGGAGCCTCCAAAGAGGTCCCACCACTGTGCTTCTTAGCCTGTGGTCTGAGAACATTTGTATCAGAATCACATGGAGTGCTTACCGAAAATGCTAATTCTTGGACCCCAACCCAGAGACAAGGAACCAGACTATCTTGAGGGTGAGGCTTGAAAATCTGCATTATTGATAAACTCCCTAGCTGATGGCTGTGCTAACTGAAGTTTGAAAACTGCTGTTCCAAACAAAGCTGTCCACTGTCCCAGAGGTGGAAGAGTCCTGCTAAGATTCCCAGGAGTATCTTCCACTAGGAAGCTATCATGCATCCATATTGCTAGCCTTAGCTCCTTACAGGTTCAATTATTGTAGCCTTTGCTATCTCTAGCCAATCTTCTTGGAGAAAATAATTATGTTCAAAGAGCCAGGCAGGAGGACGGGGAGGCTTTCATACACTCTCCCACCATTTTTTGGCTCTATTTCCATCCCAGCCTCAGCACTGCATATACACTAAAAACATGTCTAAGGCATCTGGACTGAAACCCAGCATCTGTTGTAAGAAAAATGAGATTTTCAAGTGGGGCCTCTTTGGAGTGGGATGGTGCCAAGTGAGATGGGGCCTCCCAGGTAGACTCCATCACATGGAAACTTACAAATAAATTTCTCCAGGACTGGAAACTGTGCTCTGAGCAGGATTCCAGAATTCATGCAAGAATATGTTCCACTCTTTGCGTGGGGTTCTTGCCTCAAACGCCTGTCATCAGGACCATCCTACTGTCCTAGAGGGCATCTGGGCCCTTCACCATAGACCTGCAGGCATCCTAGTGTCAGCATCACAGCCTGCTGGGCATTGTGTTGGTGAAATAATTTTAGAATGAGGCATCCATGCCCATGTAGTGGGTAACCATGAGGTAAACAGCCTTGGGGTTGTTGCTCCCCGCTTCCTACCACTCACCCCCACTTCAGCAACAGTGTGAACACCTGGGAATTTTATCTCTATCACCCCCAGGAAGGGATGCTGCCGCCCAAGCATGGATGACAAGAGAATCAAACTCTTAGCATCTCCCATTCAGAAACCTAGGCCCAAGACATAAACAAAATATTTAGATAACTATGTAATTATAGTTAGAATTATTTCCCACTCCCCTGACACCATCCCTTACCCCAGACTAGGGAAAATTATACAGACGGAGAGAAAGGACAGTCAGAAGGGAAGGAAGATGCTAGTCCAGTGGGTCATTCAGCCCGGCCTTCCCCACTACTGGGCAGGTCCCAGCTGAGTCTAAGAATCTCAGGGAGGTGGGACCCCTGTCCTTGGCCCTTGGTTGTTTGCACTGATGTCAGATGTTTGGATGGAACAATATACATTTCAGAATGTCAGTCGGCAAGGAAGGCAGGCAGGGCTCAGACTCATTTCTCCCCTCCCCACACCTTAGAACTATGTAATCAACTGGGACATAGTGGGAATCCTGGGAAAGGTGATGGGAGCTTGCACTGACTGAGCTTTAGAGGCTCTAAATGGAAATGAAGTTCAGATAGGTTCAGAGAGTTTGCAGAAATTCACCTATCCTGCATGTCTACATTTCTGGCATATTTATTATTAGCTTTAGGAAATTTCTAAACAGCATATAGGTCATGGTAGTAAGCATATGAGACAAAGTGCTAAGGTTGGAAAACCCTTTATCCTAGCTCCCTTAGGGCTCAGTTAGGAGCCCAAACCTGACTATTTTGTTCTGAAAGGAGTTCAGAGACAGGGCTGGCACAGCCCCCTGAGATTCCTCATAATTTGACATCTAGGAGCATGGCTGATTTGCTGGAGCAAAGCAGGTGACGTGAATGTTCCAAACCTTCTCCCCATCCGAAGACTAACAGAACCTTGCAAATGTGAATGGCTTCATCCTATACTCAAGGTGTTCTGATCATTGCCTGAGAAATGGCATAAAAGACCTTTAAAAATAGAAAACATTATAAATGGGCCATCAAGTGGCTTATTGGATCCTGATATTGTCATCTTAGGATGCCAAAGCTATTTATCAATCAAAGCCTGGAATTTCCTGCTAAAATTCAATGTTTTGCTAATGATATTTACATTAAGTCTGGGATTCAAATCTGTACATTGTCGAAACGTATTGGCTAGACATGATACTCTAAGAACCTTCATGTTTTATCAAAAATATGTTTGGGTTTATATTTTGAGATTATAAAGTTGTGTATTGCTTTTTCATTTTCCATTTCTCTTTTCTGTTTTCCTATTTGTATGTTTCTCATTCTCACTGTCCACATAATTTTTTCTCGCATTTACTTTTTTTATTTTCTCTTCTCCTGTTTACATTTCCTCCTCATCTTAATAATTATCTTCTTTATCCCTCTTTCCTTTAGCTTCTCATTTTTAACTCTTGCTTCCCTTCTTTGTCCTTAGTTCTATTGCTTCAAAATAGTATTAATAGCTTTTTCTGAGTACTTAGTATATGCTATGCTCTAATGTGTTTTACTTGTATATTTTAGAGGAGGGAAATGAGACTCAAACTGAGTGACCTGACCAAGAACACACAGCTGGGAATTGGAGAACTGGGGCTCAGGTGGAAACACCTGCATCTAGAGCCTGGCCCTGCTTCATCTTCTCCAGTCATGCCCCATTCTGTTTCTCCACCTTCTTTACCTCGGTTACCCCTGCCTGTCTCCACCTCCTTCTTCTTACTGACCCTTGCTCCCCAAACTACACATGCTGAGATCTACTCCCTGCCCAAGCCCGTCGTGTGGATCCATAGTGCAGTGTGTGGCTGGCAGGCACTATATATATCCTGTCTCTCTCTCCTGTCTCACGCCCATCTGGGGAATATGCTCAAATGTCACCTTTCAGGTCATGCTTTCAACTAAAAGCCTTCCTTTCTTCCTACGCTATGACAATTCAGAGCCCATGTTTGATTCGGAGTTTCTTCCCTCTTCTGCATATGATTGTGTGTGTATGTGTGTGAGATACGTGCACCATATGCAATTTTTTTCTGAAAGGCTTCTTTGAGAGGGGGGAAAAATCACTACTTTGATTAATGCTTGCTAAGTCTGTCGAACCTGAATGCCCGCAGCGGGCCCTTTTGCTGCCTGTCAACCTGTTCCCCCTAGGTCCGTCCTTGCATGCTCCTCACCCTCAGTTGGTGACCTTGCTTCCTAAACACCCCAGCAAAGGAAGGAAGTCCGAGTAGAACTCCCTCATTTAGACTCTCATCTGAGCGTCAAACGCACTTACCTGCTTGCCTACTGCTTCCGGCGCTCCTAACCCCGCTTCCGGCCTCTTAAAGAGGAAGAGGCCCACGCATGCTCTGTGAAGCTGGCCCGCCCTGGGCTCCTCCTTTTATACCCGCCCTGCTCGGCAGCGTTGCTCTCCTGGGCTTCCTCTCCTCTCTTGAGCTCTTACCTTTGCATTCTGCAGTGGGTCAGAGCCAACGTTATGAAGATATACTGTTTGTAGCTCTCTTCTTTAAAAGAAAAAAAAGGAGGGAGGGAGAATTAAAGAAAAGAAAGGTGGGGAAAAGGAGGGGAGGGAGGAACGGGCAGAACAGGGAAAAAGCTTTTTCTTACCTTTTCCTTCTCTAGCTTTTATCTTATTTTTTTTCCTTACCTTTGAGGGAAGACTCCTCCAAGACTTTTTATTTATTTTTTGAGATGGAGTCTCACTGTGTCTCCCAGGCTGGAGTGCAGTGGCATGATCTTGGCTCACCAATCTCCACCTCCCTGGTTCAAGCAATCTTCCTGCCTCAGCTTCCCAAGTAGTTGGGATTGCAGGCATGCACTGCCAGGCCTGGCTATTTGTATGTGTGTGTGTGTTTTTAGTAGAGACGAGGTTTCACCATGTTGGCCAGACTGGTCTCAAACTCTTGACCTCAGACAATCCGCCCGTCCCGGCCTCCCAAAGTATTGGGATTATAGGCGTGAGCTACCACGTCTGGCCCTCCAAGACTTATTTTTGTGGTCTATAATTTGTCCTCTCCACTCTCCCCTCTCTCTCTCGAACTCCACTCCTCAGGCTTGTGTCCACAACTCTGCCGGAGTTCACCTACAGATGGCACCAACGACCTCCAGGCTGTAGACAATGTGCAAATCTAATGGATAGTTTTCAGGAGCATGTGACACAGCAGATAACTCTCCTCTGCTTCTAACACTTCTCTGGCTTCATTTCCAATACAACACACCCTCTAGTTTTTCTCTTCCTTTCTGGCTGATCCTTATCAGATTCTTCCTATCTCCGTAACTTCTACGTCAGTGGTTCTCAAAATTTAGTAAGCAAAAGAAACACCTGGAGGGCTTGTTACAACAAGGTGCAGGGACCTTACTCCAGGAGTTTCTGATTCAGTAGGTGTAGGTGGGCCCAAGAATTGCCTATCTGACAAGTTCCCAGGTGATGCTGATGTTTATCCGTAGTTAGTATTTTGAGTAGCACTGCCTTAACTTTTCTAACGTTACTCAATTCGGTGATACTATGCACTTTCACTGTTTTAAATACTTGTACATACTGAAGACTATATTTTACATTTCTGGGCAAGTCCTGTCCTCTGACCTCCAGAGTTTAATTGACCTCCCTGCTTAGCTGGCTAAGGGTAACTTAACGTTAATATGCTCAACTCTGAGCTCCTGAGAGTCCCTCCCAAAGCCTACCTCTTCCATGATTTTCCCCTTCCCAATCCATAGCAACTTCAACCTTGATTACTTAGATCAAAAACCTAGGAGTCATCCAAGATTTCTCTTTAGTTTTACACCCCACTTCAATCTTCTAAATAATTCTCATGGCAATAATGTGTTTTACGTCTGAAATCCAACCACTTCTCACTACCTCTATTTCTGACACCTTGATTCACGCTGAGCATTATCTCCGTGCTAGATTATTATAATCCTTCATCTTCTCAGCTTCTGCATTCTCTGCTGCAGTCTACTAATAAAGAAATTGCAATGATCCGGCTGACTCCCAGCCATTTTTCTCCAGGACAGCATCATAGATGGTGCTCTTGAAATGAGAGGTGCTTCTTGGTGCCACCACTGCTGGAAACATTTGTTCTTGCTTAAGCTTTTGCTGTAACTCTATACAGTGTTTACTTTTTAAAAGAATTGTAAGAAATGACCATTATATAGATAATATATCAGGTATATACAAGTATCAAACTTTATTGTTTAAAAAAATCTCAGCAAAACATAACTTCTTATTATAGTATTTGGGCTTAAAAATGCAGCAGGTCGTCCAATAACGTTGTTTGGTTCAATATCATTTCCTTATAATGTTGAGAAAAAATTGATTCCCAGCCAGGGCCACTGTCTGTGTGGAGTTTGCATGTTCTCCCCCTGGCTGAGTTTTCTTTGGGTGCTCTGGTTTCCATCTACATCCTAAAGCTGAGCGCATGAGGCTAATTGGTGTCTAAACTGCCCCCATCTGTGCGGTGAGTGTGAATATGTCCTGAGATGGGATGGTGTTGGTCTGTCCAGGTCAGTTCCCACCTTGTACCCTGAGCTGCCAGGATAGGGTCCTGCCACCCCCAAACTGAAATAACTGGGTAAATATCTTGCTTACATTAATCTTTTAGTTTCTTTTGCTGTGCATAAGCTCTTAAGTTTAATAAGCTCCCACTCATCAATTTTTGCTTTTGTTGTGATTGTTTTTGATGTCTTTTTTAATGGATTGGAGGTTTCAGTGGGACAGGAGAATTACAAGGAATCAGGTGTTCAGAGGAATGTATTGAGTAGAGGTGAGGAACTAGGATGTTGAAAAGTAAAAAAGGAGAGGAAGAAAGGAAGAAAAAGAGGGAGAGAGAACAGGAGTATTGCTTCATTCTAAAAATGGGAATTAATAATGGCCGATCAATATTTTGTGTATTTAAAATGGAGAACTCTATAAATATTCTTTCTTATATTCTAATATAAATAATCTTTCTTATATGTATGTATAAGTCACATTTATTTCAAAATTTAAAATTAGGAGGGTTTTGGTCTTTAAAAGTTTGATGTTTTTGTGACCAGAAATATGACATAGGAATTTAACTTTCTAGCAATTAGCCTATGGTAAAATTGACTTCCTTATGTTGTTTTGCTTAAAGTCCCGGTTTCCAAGAACAAGTCAACAACATTGAAGACTTACTGTACCTCCTTTAGGCCGAGTCTTTAAATGAAACACTTTCACTATCGTTGATTTAAACTTACGCTGCATAGTTAAGTGTGTACTCTAAGACTGGAGGGCTCAAATCTTTGCTACGACATTACCTTGGGTGAGTTACTCAAAGCTACAATTTCTTTGGTTATAAGATTGTGGATTAATTCCTATAAAGGACTTAAGACAGTATTGACATATAGCAGATGTTGCTCAACTATAGTTATGGTGGTTAGCTCTTCAGAATACTACAGAATCACTTGTGTGCAACCTTTTTCATTCACTGTTTTGCAGACCAGAGTCTTCTTTAATTTTTGAGGCAGAGTCTCCCTCTGTCACCCAAGCCTGGAGTGCAATGGTGTGATCTCAGCTCACTGCAACCTCCGCCTCCCAGGTTCAAGCAAATCTGCCTGAGTCTCCCGGGTAGCTGGGACTACAGGCACGTGCCACCACACCCGGCTAATTTTTTGTGTGTATTTTTAGTAGAGATGGGGGGTTTCACCGTGTTAGTAAGGATGGTCTCCATCTCCTGACCTCGTGATCCACCCACCTCGACCTCCCAAAGTGCTGGGATTACAGGCATGAGTCACCGTGTCTGGCCTAGAATCTTTTTGAACTCTATTAGTCATAAGGGAAATTTTCATTGAACTTAATGGTGAAAATGTCAACTCTAACGAGCATTTATAGGGACAGTTATTTTAAAATGAATTATTCAGTGGGGAAAAATAGGCCTTCCCTCCCATTAGATACCTTTCCCATGTATTTTCAAAGGGAAATTCCTGATGTTTCAAGGATTTTCTTCTCTGGCAGCTTTTTTCATGCATATCCTGATTTCTGGATGTGGAAGATCATTTTTCTGTCAGACTGATGGCAGTCACTTGATACCCTGGATTTCCTGGGCCAGATATTCAAAAAGCCTGTGCAAACCGAGCCAGAACAGTTGTGATCTTGTGTATCTGCACCAAAAAAAGGAGATCAAGCTTTCAGAATGAACATTGCTTAGACAGCATCTAAGGAGATGTGCTTAGAAAGTGTATAAACTCATTTTCACAGGCTTTTGGACAACCTGACTTCTTCAAAGCAGGCCCTCAAAGTTGGGGACTTTGGTGCACAGCTGGCACCTCACCTGGCCTCACTTAGCTTCCAGCAAACTTTGAAATTTACTACCAAGATGATTCTTTACCCAAAGAATGTTTGTTTTGTAGATTAGCAGTTCAAAGTCAATTTGCCTAGCAATGCAGAAGAAAACTGCAGACGTGAACAATAAGACGTAGAAAAGGCTTTGCTCAGGTCCATGATTACAAATATTCATCCTATCACTGATTTTTTTTTAAAGGGTGAGCTGAACTGGAACTGCCTTTAGCTGCTGACTTTGAAAAATTCACTTTTCTGTACTTTTCTGTACCTAATATGTGTGTGTGGCTTGTTTCGCATTTCCAAGTCACGCTAAAACAATAGCTGGTACTTCAGTTGACTTGTTGCTAAGTCAGCGTGGGGCTACACACCCAGCTCTAGAACTGCTCAACAGCCCTCTTGGAAGCTGAGTCACAACCCTCCTAGGACTGAGGATTCTTTTTATCATTGCTTTCTCAGACACCAACATATCCACATTTACACACAAGACTGGAATGTGTAATGTTCTATTCCATACAGATCATCTAGTTAATAATAATGCTAATAGCATATAAGCATATGTCCCTATTGGCCAGCACTTCACAAATTCAAATATAAAATTGAGGAATTTTTACTACGACATTATAACGTTGATGAGGAAACATCAACTGACTGCCTCTGGCATTGTACAAAGAGCTTTATATGTATTCTTTTCAGGCCTGGCTTCATGGGTGAGTGGCCAGTGTAGTTATGCAGCGTCCCATGCTCAGAAGAGCCTTGCACTTGAAGTTTAATGCTCTACATTTCTTTAAAATCCTCAATTTTATATTTAAATTTGTGTTTAAGTGCCGTCCAATGGGACAAAGCGGCATGCATGCACTAGGGTCTTAGCGACTTGTCTCAAACATCATTCAGTCTCCCACTGTTTCCCTGCACCAAACTCTGCCCTGTCTCTGAGCTCCCATACAGCAAACACTGAGGCCCTCTACCCCCTGACAAGGAATTTAGCACAAGAAGGGTGGGGATCAGG